CCCCCCCCCCCCGCCCACACACACACAACCCCCCTATTTTCTCGTAGTTTCCGCAATGCGGAATCGGCGCTTGCGAATCGGCAAGGACGACATTTTTCTTGACCGCAAAAAAATGAACATCCTATGGATTCGAAACGACAACAGAAGCCCTATATCCCCTGAAATCCTTTCAATTCTCTCTCCTATTGAAAGACATCGTGCGTAGAATCACGTTCGATCATCGGTAAAATGCTCGACGAGTGAGCACGATTTTACAAAAATTTGGTATCTTAAGCGACTAACCCTAATCGTCACTGGCGCGAGACACGAGGCTCGTTGGTTTATCAAATCACAATTATATAAAAAATCAAGTGTCCCTCGTACGCTGAGCTGCACGGTCCCTTGAGCAGTCGAGGTTTTGCCGCTTCTCAAGTCGCATCGTCCTTCATCGTTCCCTCGGTGCGATCCCGTTACACTTTAAGTCCAATTGCTTTCTTCGATCACGTGTTCACTTTCGTTTCGCGCATCGTATATCTCTCGTTCCGATTTCAAACGTCAGTTTCCGTCTCTTTTCGTCAGACCGGACTCTGCAGCAGCCCGGCCCACACACAACTCTCCACAGTGTTCGCGTGCTCCGAACTCGAAAAGTCAACCGAAGTCTCAACATGTTGGTGATTATTAAACGCTAAGTGTCCTTACGTAAGTAACATTTAACCGCGCACAACGTTCTGTTTAAGTAGCTTACGAAGCAATTTATATCGTTAGATATCGAACGATCCGCGACGACGGGCGTCAGGATCGCGTCGCGCCGAACAATGGCCGACTCGTGGGGAACGCGAAGGTCCTGTCCGTCGTCGCGTCCGTGGCTCGAGCGAGTATCCTACTTTCGTGCATCGGCGTTCCTTTGCGCACGCCCGTGCTAAACCAAAACGTTTCACGACGCGAAATCAAATTATCCGTTAGAGCGTCTTCGTACCGAAGGATGGAGAACCGGAGAACGCGTTCACGGAAGCTCGGCGAAGCTTCGGTGAATCGCGCGATTGCGCGCGGCAGAGGGCGAACGGACAAAACTTCGACAACCTCTGCTACGCATCGACCGTCCGATAAACGGGGGGGGGAAAAAAAAAGAAAAACGATCTTGCGATCGCTACTGGCAGAAGAGTAGCCTAGCAGAAGTTAGTCCAGAAGACCGGATGCGTCTTCGTCGAACTAAACGCGCGTGTATATATGTGTGTTGTGTGTGTGCATACGCGCGCGCACGCGCGCGCGTGTGTGTGTCTATCTCATCATCGATTCATTCGTCGCGATCCTTCCCCTCTGACGATCGATCGCGCCTAATGGAGCATAGGATCGATGTTGCTTAGCATTCACCCTCAGGATCCTGAATCTTCGCGGTGACGGCAGCACCGGCGAAACGCATTCGCCTCCTCCTGACTACGGAGCACGCCGACAACGGTAGCTTTCGACGGTGATGCGAGGATGAGATCGAAGAACGATTGAAATCCCATCTCGCGACGGGTCTCCCTCAAAGGACCGGTTCTTCGTCGGTCTCTTCGTTGTCGTCGTGCTCCTTTCCCTGGCACTGAACCGCGGCCGTTGAAACCGAATTCGTCTTCACTCTCCGCTGTCTCTTCTGCTGACTACTAGCGCCAGACGGTCCGGTACTGCCGCCTGTGGAACTGCAACCGGAGCCGCTGGAATTGCTGGCCGCGTTGCCGCCCATCGCCGTTGCGAGGTCCAGGTCGATCAGCTGCCTATGAGCGTCGATCAGGGGTCGCAAGGCAGTTCTGAGAGAGGAATAGAGTCGAGGATAGGCGCGTTCCTGCTGGAGTATCAGCTCCTTGCTTTGTTTCTGCTTCTGCAACGGAATGGAGAGGTTCGAGTAGAGGTTCTAATTGGAACGGGTCAAGAGCGAAGCCATCGAGGGAAATGCGTGAGAATTATCGATTGCGTCTAATTAAAGACGGGCGAAGAGACGCGCGACGGGTAACAATCAAAGATATAAATAAACTGGAGGAGCTCACCTCGGGAAGGTCACTTGACCTGGTTTCCCGTGAAACCAATAGCTTCTTGCCGTCGGCAAATTGCCTCAACGCCTTCTCCCGTACGTACACGAACGGCCGGATGACCCTGAGATCCTGGCGGCGTATGTAGTAGTGGGCTTTCATGGTTTTCAGCTTGCCACCGTGGAACACCGAAACGAAGAAACCCTCGGTCAGGTCGTCCAAATGCTGGCCCAAAGCCAGCACGTTGTAATTGTGCCGCTTGGCGATCGCGTATAACTGTGCCCTGGTCGCTCGGTTGCAAAAGCTGCAAGCTCCGCTGGCATCCACAGCCTCGTCCGTGTGACTCTCGCCGCTGTTGCACTTCGACTCGCTGCTCTGCTCCTCGTAGAAGTACGGGACGTCAAGGGCCTTCAGGTAAGTCATCAGTTCCAGCGGGTCAAACCTGTTTCCGTCCACCGTGGCTGCTCCGATCTCAAAGTCCACGCCCTTCGACCTCACGTAGAATCGATACTGGTGCAACGTGTGCAGCAAGGACAAGGAACCCTTGCCGTTGGTCGACAAGCAAACCAGTACTCTGTCGTTGTCCCGAATCATATCGAATTCCTGCATGGCCTCCACTGACGGTTTCCAAATGTTCTTCGGCGGGCAATGCCATTGCGGTCGAGACCCTTCCACGGTCTTTCCGTCCGCGAACGTTGCACCTTGGTCCCCGTCCTCCTCCTCCTTCAAGTCGCCCGAGCATTCCTCGTCCTCGGAGAAGTCGTCGTTCTGACGGACTTGTTGCTTGCAACTGGCCTTGCTGCACAAAGCGGTCATCGAAGTCGCCCTCGGTTTGCGACCGTAGCTGTTCGTGGAATTGGACTCGGCGCTACTGCTGCGTTTCAAGTCCACCGAGTCCAGAGACTTGTCGCTCTCGTGGAAGGACAGATTGATCCCGCTGTCCTGCGAACTGACCGAGTTTACCGCGGAATAAATTTTCGGTAGGATCTTTCGCGCGTCGCCGATCTCCAGGCCTCCGCGTTCCTGAGAATCGTCGTCGTTCAGATCGTCGTCCAAATCGTGCACCACCTCCTCGTCGTCCGTCTTCGATTGATTGCGAACCATCTGCTCGTTCTCCGGCGGTTTCATCACGTATATCACCGTCTCGTCCGAGGAGCACTCGCTGGACATCTTGCTCTCCTGTTGAGTCAGCTCGCCGACCTTGCCAGAGATCTCTATTGGTCCGCTTCGTCTCGCGCTAGACATTCTTGGCGACGACGAGGACTGTACGATCCTCCCTCTGTCCGGAGAGCCGCATCCGTTCGAGGACACGTCGGATGCCGAGGCATCCGGCGAGTGTCTGTGCAATCCGTCCACCGCGTTCACCATGCATCTGATCTCGGACTTTACCTCGCTGGCCATTTCCTTCGAGAATTCCATCAGGTATTCCGCGATGTCGCTGGCGGTGAACGAATCGTGTCTCATTTGTTTGTCCTCCACGGAGAGCTGGCTGATGGCGCTCAGATTACGCGAATGATGCTGCGGCGTGTTCTCGGAGGTGTTGGTTTCCGACAACGCATCGTCCACCTTGGAGATCACCTCTCGAATCTCCGACTTGATCTCCGTGGCCAATTCCTTCGTCACCTCTTTCACGTAAGCTCTCAGATCGTCCTCCGATCTTTGGCCACCGTTCGCGGAAACCGGCGACGACCTGCCTCCGCCCACGAACTTTTCCGTGTAATCGCTGACGGAGGAGTAGGAGGAGGGAGGCGAGGTCGGATTGTGGCAATTGAGGGAGAGGATCGAGTGACTCGGGCTGCCATTGTCCAGCTCCAGAGAATTCAAGTCGGTCTGACTGCTGCAACTGCAATGGTGTCGCCTGTGCTTCGAGGAGTTGCCGTTGTTTCCGCTCAAGCCCAGGCTGGTCAACGTCTGAGGGCTCAACGGGAGCGGCGGGATCGGCGAGGACGAGGAGGACGCGACGTTTCGATTCCCCGAATCGTTCCCAGCGGCGGTGGTACTGCCGAGGGAGTTGCACCTGGCACGACCGGCATTGGCAGAGTCCATCAGATCTCTCTGCTCTTTAATTGGCCTGTTGCCCGCGTGGGGCATCGTGCCGAGGGCCGATGGCGTGACCGCCTCGCCAACCGCGAACCTCACGGGCATCGGAGAACTCGGGCAAGTAGCCGGTGACCTCTGACCGGCCGAGTCGGTATTTCGATCGACGGCGGTGGACGACGCGTGTCGTTCCTCCTCGTTGCCGCTCGCCGGGCTAGACGAGGAGGAAGTCTGGAACTCTGCCGCGTTCATCAGAGTTTTCCTGGCCGTGCTGAGTACGGGAAGACTCCGATGTCTGGGCGAATTGGACGAGATCGGAGCGTTTCCCGTTCGGGGAATGTCGCTGTTCAGTCGACGGATGCTATTAGCCAGGGCCAAGCAGTTGACCAGGCTGTCGTGCGTGGTGGTCGGCGTGTGATGATTGCTGTGCTTGCTCCAAGATAGCATCGGATTGAAAGGCACGTCTTGCTTTACGTTCTGCGAGTTGCCCAGAAGAAGATCCTGGGCCTCGCTTGGCAGCATGAACCATCGCAGCGACTCCAATCGTTCGGACACGAAGTTGTAGCTACGGTCTATCTGGAGCGGATACCTTTGCGCCATTTTCCGGGCGCGATTGAAAATATTCCGAGCTGTCTGCAAACAATCGCCGTAGTTCTGCGGAAGCACGCCCGAGCCGGATACCCGTCTCTCGGAAGCGTTCATCTTCCCGTCCGTGTATCTGATCGAGCTGAGCCACTTTCGCTCTTTGAACACGCTATTCGTGTGATGCCGCCATTCACCCGTATCCGGGTTCAGCACGTATTGCGGCAGCAATTTCCAACCTTCCGTCGCTACCATTTTCAATGCCTCCAGAACAAACGCCACCTCGGCCTCCGACATGAAGTAAGGGAAGGAGAGTTTTGCGAAGCCCGGCCTCAAGCCCTCCGCGTTCGTCTCCTCGTTCACGGTGTTCCGTTCCCTAGAAACGATAACGTAACCCGGTTAAACCCGGCGTGCGCGAGCCAGCGTATACATACGCGTTCCATTTAACGGTACGATTCCGCGAGGAGTCATGCATCGCGCGGAATCGATACCGCCTGAACCGAGTTTCCAACTTTCGTACCCCTCTACGAGAGCCTTCTGGTACTCCTTGGCGAGTTGCTGGTCGATTCCCATCAGGTCGTGAGCGTAACGTCCGGCACACGCGCAGCCGCCACGCGCCTGTATACCGAACACGTCGTTCAACACGGCGCACACGAAGTTGTGGTGAAGGAACGTGCCCCGTGGATGACGCACCATGAACGAAAAGATCGGCAGCCTCTTAACATTCTGCGAGCCGCTGCCTAGCAGAATCAGTTCCGGAATCGTGCGTACGTGTGCCAGCACTTGCCTAGAGAAACAGGAAGCATCGATCATGTTTCGCGAATATCGAAGCGTGGATGCGCGTAACCGTAATGGATCTTGCAAATTTTCCACGCGGTCGTCCTTTGTCCAAAATCGATCGAGGCCATTTTCCGACCACCGTATCCGGTCTTTCAAGGATCGTTACCGCCGATCGCCGGTGTAGCTACTACGATCGCCGTGACGAGAATTGAAAAGAGTCGAGTCGCGCGTTATCTCTGTCAGGTGGGGGATTCGAAAATGGAGGCGCAGAGTCTCGCGAGCCGCGACGACGGTCGATTCTAATCGAATCGCACCGCTCCAGTATGTCTGGCACTCGAGACGTTTCCCTTTCGTCGATATCTACCATTCCTCGTCATAAATATTCCCGCGATATCAACGGCTGTGTTCCCCTTCGCGAACCGTAGCTAGCACGTGTCGCGTTCGGTGCTGGAAAGCGAGCAAGCGAACGGAGCGACGCGGAACGAGAATGGCCGCGGATCGATCCACGCGGTCGTTCGATTTTTGGATAAAGGACGTTTAATTCGTACGACGGGAGACGGCGCGGCGTGGAACAAACGGGGTACCTGGAAATCTTATCTTGACGAGCGACGATCGCTCGCGGCGTGACATTCTCCTTCAGCTGCATCGCGAGTCCGCATCTGATGGTCTCGACGACACCCGCGGTGCCGCTCTCCTCGCGGAGTTCCGGATCCCGATGATAGTGATGGGAGTCCCTCATGTCCTCCGTGGCAATTTTATCTTTTAACAGGGACCGTTTGGTCACGAGCACGCCAGGGGACTGAACTCCGCCGATGAACTTGTGTCCGGCGAAAATAATCGCGTCTTTGTGCACGGTCGTCTCCCCGACGCCGGGCAGATGTGGATTCATATCGATCTGGATGGACGGGGCTGAAAGATAAGATCGGTGGTGTGTTTTTAGATAAAAAATGGAAAAAAAAAAAATAGCAGTTGCACGCGATAAAGCGTTTTACGCGAGCGATAATACTCGCGTGTATCTGATCGATCGGTAGCGAATGGCCGTGCGATAATATATTTTAGTCACAAAATGGAGCAAACATTGCGTCACGTTAATATCTTTCGTTCCTTCGACCCGTATATCGGTTTCCACGGACTGATCGTTACCTGCTGTGGTGTAATCCCAGACGCTAAGTGCCCCATACTGATGCAGCAGGAGGGTCGTGGCGACGTCATCTGCCAAAACCCCGGTTATGCAACTGGCAGCGCTGAAGCATCCGATCATTTGCGTAACACCCTCGGCTCGCACTTTGATCAGGCTCCGTTCGAGATCGTTCAGATCCAAGAAGCCTTCCCGGGTCTCGCTTACCCGTACTATCTGCGGTCACGTTATTCACCCATTAGTCCAACCATCTTCCTTTCTCCCGATTCTTACTAACTTTTCGTAATCTTTCTCCCGTATTACTCTTACAGATACTCGTGGTATCGATCGATCTCTCGAGTCGGTCGAGTCGCTTTTCGAGACGAGCGATTAAAGTTTCGTCGCGGACCCTGTTCTATTCTTGGACGAGATTCCTCGACTACTTGTTGAACGCTTCTACGATTTAAACGCGATTAACAAAGCCTCTTCGAGGAAGAAATTTCTCCGTCAGCAACGTGACCGGGAAATCGTACTTTATTTATATCGATAATTTCGTAGGAACGTCTGGCGTGGTCGTATGGCCACTTCGGACGAAGCAGCTGAAAACAATTTCCTTCCGGAGCAACGCGCGTCACGCGCTCGCTTTCAACCGAGTCTAGAGTCTACGTTTCTCAAAAGCTTCTCGCGGAACCGAGGAGAAAACCAGAAATTTCTCCGACACCGAGGAAAGCGCGTCGGGGAAATCCTCAATCGGGAAATATTTTCGCCAACTCTGAAACGCGATCGTACACACGGGAACGTTTCGCTCGTCAACCGTTTGTTGCAAAAGGTGCTCGAAAACGAAGCGAGACGAGTAAATAAATTACTTCGAACCGCGTCGTTAAAGGATTAATCTCGACTCGTTCCCCGTGACTCGGATACCGAGAGCACCGACGAGATCCTTCGAGAACAGGAAAGATTCCTCGCTGATGACTCGGAAACGTTCTCCATGGAACGCCGAATGCCCTCCAGGAACGTCGGAGCACCTCGCGGCTCGTCATTGGACGCATCCAACGTTCCCAGCAGCGAGGATACCTTCGCCTCGGCGGTTTACGCTTTTGGAAAATTCTCCTTCGCGTTTGCGCGTTGCTTGCTTACCCTGACGCCGTACTCTCGCCATGGCCGCAGGTTCGCGTGGTGCTCGAATGGCCCCACGAAGACGACGGTGGATTTGGAGAGATCGAGGTGTCGCAGCAGCGTTCGAAGGGCAGCCGCTGTGCCTTGACCCGTGAACAAAACAGCATCCTGCTCGCCAGCTCCGACCGCGTGTCGAACAATGTCTCTGCCTTCGTGTCTGCAACGTTCCTTGCCGTCAGGACACGTCGATTCGTCCTTCCGTGCTCATTAACGATCGTAAACTCGCGGCTGACCGTCTCGCCGAGATCGGACAACGTTCTTTCGTCGCTTTCTCGAGAACGTTTCCCGATCTCGGGTCTCTTTGTCGGCCGCGAGGTCGTCGCGGACAGAGCAACGCAAATGCGCGCGAAGTTTATGGTCGTCGCGACGGACCCGCGCATCCTTGTAACGTTTCTCGTGGACGTTATAAATTTCATAACGAGGGAATACCGAACAATGGCGCGATAGTTTCTCTCTCTGTCTCTCCGTCGAGCGTTTTACCCTGGCCGCGAGGTTACGCGCGCGAGCAGCCTGAAAATGGGCATGTGCGATTGGTCTGGATGGGAAGGAAGACTGGAAAAAATGGCGCGACGAGGGAAAAGGGTGGTCGAAGGTGCGTGTTATCGTGGTAACCGGCTCGACGATGCAGTTGGCCAGCCGGTAAACGGTCGGGGCTCGGCTGGGTGGATATTGATCTGGGACATGAGCGCCAGGGAACGGGACGCTGAGCGGAACCACCCCTACACGTTCGACCGCGTAAGATTTAGGGATAACGGGGTCGTGCCGTTTCGCGCGCGACTAGCGTTTCCGGTTTTCCAGGAGCGGACGACGAGCCGCGAGACGCCGAAACGCGTGGCGAGCGCGACGCCGCGTGGAATGGAGGCAAAATTCCACGGGCCGGCAGCGAAATAGAAAGGCGCTCGTGTACGGTCGAGTGGCGCAGAAAACGAGTCTCGTTTACCGCGGAAACGGTACGTCAACCGGAATCGTACGCGTTGCACGCGGTACGGTATGCTAATTTCGCGTAGGAAATCGACGATTACGAATTCATAGCGCACGCTCGGATACTTTCTAACGACGCGATCCGCGACGTACGCGGCGACGATCGGCGCGCGAGCAGAAGGACAGCTACGATTCCGCGATTAATAGGCCGACCAACGACTCGGAATCGGTTCTGGGAAGCGGCAGCTGGTGCACGCGGATGTGTCGCGCGCCGTGTCCGTCCACCGTGCATAAATGCGTGCGCGTGTTTCTCCTCGCGACCTCGATCGTTATCGCGATCGTTCGGTGGTCCAGTCTCGCGATAGCGCGCTACACGGACCGAGAGACTGAGAGAGACTGAGAGAGAGAGAGAGAGAGAATTTGCGCGTAAGAACGAAGCAGAGGTGTGTCGATCGACTCACCTGAACAGAGAAGACTGGAGGCTGCAGATGGACGTGGACGCCCGGGTGTCGCCCAAATATGGCAGCACCTCCTTCGCGATGTACTCCTCGAGAAATTGCAGCGACCTTCCGGAGGCGGTGTAGTCGCAGTAGACCACTGTAACAGATAAAACACGAGACTTATCGGGACGTTCCTGGCTTACCTGTGCGAGAGAGAAAGAGGAAGGGAGCCCGAGGTTCCCGCTCGGCAAATCGATCGCAGGTCGCGATAACGCGCCCGCGTGTTACATTCAGCGAGCGCGTTGCCGTGTGTTTTTGAAAATTTCATACCGCGACATCGAGCGCGTCTGCACCCGACCGGGTCAACGTTTCCGCGCGGTTCCCACCGGACGACCGCTCCCCCTCGCTTCGTTGCTCCGCCGCGGTTTCCACGCGGGCCGCTTTCTTCGCGCGAGCCATCACCGAAATATCCGCGCGATTCGCACGGCCGTCGAAACGGCGCGCTATTATTCGCGCACCGCGAAAGCACCGGCGCCAGCGACGTTTACGCCTGGATATATCGGGTGTGGCGTTAAGCAGGCCGAGCGGAAACTCGAAACTTCGCGCGACGCACCCGCGCGAAAGCGACTGGACGGGAACGGTGGTCCAAGGTGTTCTATTAGCGTAACCGAAGTGGCGAGGAATTCGTATTCGCGCGGTGTTCCACGGGACTCGGGAAAAACGAAGTAGGTCGCGGTGCCAAGGCGACGCCGAAGTCGCCGAAAAACCCGAGAAGAAAGACGAGAGAGAGAGGAGAGAAGGGGGAAAGGAGGGTGAAAGGCGAATTGGACGATAAACAGGACCGGCGCCGATAGGAATAAGTCAAAGGTCGAGGCATGTCGGGCAACCTTGCGTCGACCTTGACGACTCCACCTTTATTCCCGGCTCCCGTTCGATCCACGCGCGTTCGGTTCCACGGAGACGCGTCTATTTATAGAGAAAAACGGCTCATCGCACTTCCGCTCGGTCCGTCTCGAATCGCTCGCCGGTTCTCGCGCGATAGCGGAACGGAATCCGAGGGACCCTCCTCGAGCCGAACCGAAGAATCGCGAAGATCGCTAGACGGCGCCGCGCTCGATTTGTTCGGTGAATTATCGAGAACGACTCGTGGGAACAAGGTCGAACGCGTTCCAGCTTTCTTCTTCGATCCTCCACCCCGCGGATGCCGTGAATCCGCGCCATCGGCGGTCCCCTTGCCAGCGTCGCGACGTCCACCCTGTGTACAACGGTGTCGAGGAGGCGTTCGAGTCGCGGCCGTTGCTTCCGCTGCTATTTTCAGCGCCGCCAGCCTGCCAGCTCGAGTTTACCAGAAAATGGAAAATGTTTACTCGGCGGGGAGAATCGGAGCGCGTTCTCTCCACGATTCTCGCGGCTCGTGCCTCCTAACAAAGGATCGCGCACACGCGCGCTCACGGTAGGCTCCGCCACGCGTGAAAAAGGGTTCGTGGAAACGCGTAGACGCCTGGAGACGGGAGCAGAGAGCCGGAGAGAGATGGAGAAAGGAGGAGAGAGAGAGAGAGAGAGAAGGAGCAATGGAACGAATGGCACCTGTCCCGACGAGCGATAGGTTGGCGAACAGACGTCGATCCGGTTGCGAAATATTTGGATTAGCGTCTAGAAAACGATCGCTCTCCGGCACGGCGGCATCGACGAGGGGCGAAAGAGAGAGGCTATTCCGCGAGGGCAAATCGAATCGCTTTATTGCCGGGGAAAGCCAAGGTAGGCGAGGGATAATGACTCGCAGGTGTGTCTTACGAAACAGTCACGATCGGCAACCGGTCCCGCGTTGCTCCGCCGGCGAAATTATGCCCCGGCCTGGCAGCGGCTTCCGACCGCTTCGCTCGGCTCGGGGATAAATTGCATTGATTTGTTTAGGGAGGAACGCGTGGAACTAAGCGAAATTTAATGGCCGTTTCGTAACTGTCCAGCGCCGCTTACGTAAACACCGCCGAGGCCGCCTCTCGCGGACGCGAGCCGAAGCTTTGTTCCGCGAGGCCGCCGCGGATCGGCCAACGCCGTTGCCGGTTTAATAACCGTGATTCGTAGCGAAAATCGTAGCGACGCGAAAGCGTTAGCCACGGAACGCTGCGCGTCGGGGCGCGCGAAAAATCGTCCGGGAAGGAACCCGTGGAAGAGGATGGCGCGGTAGTCTTCGAGAAATCCTCGATTCCGCGAATAATTCCATTTCCGCGTATCTTATCTTTGCACGCGGCGACCGCGATGTTCCATTTCCATAACGTTATCGAACCGATTATTTGCTCGTTAGCGATTCCGGTGTTTCGCGAAAAACATTTTCGACGACGAAACGACGGAATTGGAGTATCGCCGGGAGATCACGACTCGGCGATTCTCTCGGGAAAATCTGTGCTCGGTCGCGACGTCACCGATGTTTATCGACGTTCGCGGATTGCGAGCCGCTCGAGGCAGCGTCTGCAAACGCGACGTCGCCAGCGGCTCCTTGGGAATAATTCGAATGCGTCGCGATGGCCAGCCTGAATGTCAACTACGCCTCCGCGAGCATACGAACAGGGACACGTATCGCGCGGGACTCGTGGCGATCGCTCCTGGCGACGATGACGGTCGATCGGCAAAGTTGCGCGAGAAGGTTGGCGAAACTGATTATTTCCAGGCTATTCCCAGCCGCCAGGTCCGAACGTTACGTCGAGGAACGGCAGGTCGAAGCGAGTTTCGATAAATCGATTTGGATCGTGGCTCGCGGACGCGGCCTGCTGAA